GGGGGAAAAATTGGGAATTTTGAGGTTTTTTGGGAGGAAAATTGGGAATTTTGGGGGGAGGGGAAAATTTGGGATTTTGGGGGAAAATTTGGGAATTTTGGGGGAAAAATTGGGAATTTTGAGGTTTTTTGGGAGGAAAATTGGGAATTTTGGGGGGAGGGGAAAATTTGGGATTTTGGGGGAAAATTTGGGAATTTTGGGGGAAAAATTGGGAATTTTGAGGTTTTTTGGGAGGAAAATTGGGAATTTTGGGGGGAGGGGAAAATTTGGGATTTTGGGGGAAAATTTGGGAATTTTGGGGGAAAAATTGGGAATTTTGAGGTTTTTTGGGAGGAAAATTGGGAATTTTGGGGGGAGGGGAAAATTTGGGATTTTGGGGGGAATTTTTGGGAATTTTGGGGATTTTACCTGGAGCAGGTGAAGAGAGGGTGGGGGGAGGGGAAATTTGGGGATAAAAACGGCAAAAAAATGGGAAAAAAATGTTAAAAAATTCAGGAAAAAATGGGAATAATCGGGAAAAAATGGGAAAAAATCGGAAAAAAATCAGAAAAAAAAAGGGAAAAAAATCGGAAAAAAATCAGAAAGAAATGGGAAAAATTTTGGGAAAAATGGGAAAAAAATCAGAAAAAAAATGGGAAAAAGAACGGAAAAAAAATCAGAAAAAAATGGGAAAAATGGGAAAAAAATCAGAAAAAAACCAGAAAAAAATCAGAAAAATGTTGGGAAAAATGGGGAAAAAATCAGAAAAAAATTAGAAAAAAATGGGAAAAAAAATGGGAAAAAAATCTGAAAAAAATCCAAAAAAAATGGGAAAAAAAATGGGAAAAATGGGAAAAAAATCAGAAAAAAAATGGGAAAAAATCGGAAAAAAATCAGAAAAAATGGGAAAAAATCAGAAAAAAATGGGAAAAAAATCAGAAAAAAATCAGAAAAATTTTGGGAAAAATGGGGAAAAAATCCGAAAAAAATGGGAAAAAAATCCGAAAAAAATCCGAAAAAAATGGGAAAAAATTAGAAAAAAATCAGAAAAAAATGGGAAAAAAATGGGAAAAAAATCAGAAAAAAATGGGAAAAAACCAGAAAAAAATCAGAAAAATTTTGGGAAAAAATGGGAAAAAAATCAGAAAAAAATGGGGAAAAAAATCGGGAAAAATTTGGGTGATTTTGGGGGATTTTGGGGATTTTACCTGGAGCAGGTGAAGAGAGAACCGTTGACGCCGCCGAAGGTGGAGAGGGCGACGGCGAACGGCATCACCCAGGCCATGGGGCCCAGAACCTTCTCCCCGAACGTCTGGAGAGGGGGGAAAAACCGGGAAAATCCCGGAAATCCCCGCCGGAACGGGAAATTCCGGGAGTTTTCCCCAAAATTCCCATTTTTTTCCCCCCCGAAATTTGGCTTTTTTCCCCAAAATTTCACTTTTTTGGCCCAAATACTTGGATTTTTCCCTTAATTTTATCGTTTTTTTCCCTGTTTATTCCCAAAATTCCCAGATTTCCCGAAGTTTTCCCAAAATCCCAAGAGTTTTCCTGAAATTCCCACATTTTTTTACCCAAAATTCCCAGGTTTTTACCCCCAAAAATTCAGGTTTTTTCCCCCAAAATTTCGCTTTTTTTCCCCCCAAATATTCGCATTTTTCCCTCAATTTCATCATTTTTTTTCCTTTTTATTCCCAAATTTTAAGAGTTTTCCCCAAATTTCCGAACTTTTCCCGAAGCTTTCCCAGAATCCCAAAAGTTTTCCCAAAATTCCCATTTTTTTATTACCCCAAAATTTGGCTTTTTTCCCCAAAATTTCGCTTTTTCATCCCAAAAATTTCGATTTTTCCCAGGATTTTATCATTTTTTTTCCCTGTTTATTCCCAAACTTCCCAGATTTCCCAAAGTTTTCCCAAAACTCCCATTTTTTCCCCAAAAATTTGGGGTTTTTTTCCTAAAAAAAATCCCCATTTTTAACCCCGAAATTCCCCATTTTTCCACCGATTTTCACCAAATTTCCACCGTTTTTTTCCCAAATTTCCCCGTTTTCCCCAATTTTTTCCCATTTTTCCCATTTTTCGCCCCATTTTCCGCCCCGGGTGACCCCAAAACCCCCAAAAATCCTCATTTTTAACCCCAAAATTCCCCATTTTTTGCTCTATTTTTGTCATTTTTTGCCCTTTTTTTGTCATTTTTCCACCGATTTTCACCAAATTTTCACCCTTTTTTCCCCAAATTTCCCCTTTTTCACCCCAATTCCAGCCCCCCTTGACATCAAAACCCCCAAAATCCCCATTTTTAACCCCAAAATCCCCATTTTTAACCCTTTCTTCCCCATTTTTTGCTCGATTTTTCTCATTTTTTCACCGATTTTCACCATTTTTTCACCCTTTTTTCCCAAATTTCCCCAATTTTTCCCCGTTTTCCCCCATTTTCTCCCCCTGGTGTGCCCAAAATCCCCATTTTTAACCCCAAAATCCCCATTTCTTTCTCTATTTTTTGCCATATTTTTGTCATTTCTCCACCAATTTTCACCATTTTTTCACCCTTTTTCCCCAAATTTCCCTTTTTTCACCCCAATTCCAGCCCCCCTTGACCTCAAAACCCCCAAAATCCCCATTTTTAACCCCGAATCCCCAAATTTCCCTCCAAAAATCCCCATTTTTAACCCCAAATCCCCATTTTTTCCTCGATTTTTCTCATTTCTCCACCGATTTTCACCATTTTTTCACCCTTTTTCCCCAAATTTCCCCTTTTTCACCCCAATTCCCAATCCACGAGGCCACCCCAAAACCCCCCATTTTTAACCCCAAAACCCCCAATTTTTACCCCCGGAAACCCCCATTTTTCCCGCCCGATTTTCGCCGTTTTCCCGCCGATTTTCGCCATTTTTTCGCCGATTTTCGCCGTTTTTTCGCCGTTTTTCCCCAAATTTTCGCCTTTTCACCCCGAATTGCAACCCCGGTGACCTCACCACGGCCACGGCGTCGCTCTGCAGGATCTCCTGCGGGCTCATGGCCGCCAGGTACGCCACGTTGGCCGCCACGTACAGGAAGGTGACCAGCGGCAGCGAGATGGAGATGGCCAAAGGGAGGTTCCTGCCCGAAATCCAGCCGAATCGCCCCAAAATCCGGGGAGAACGGCCCCGAAAACCCCAAAAACGACACAAAAGCCAAAGAAATCGACCCAAAAAGCACCAGAATCGACCCA